TCACATGGCCATTAAGAACATAAGCCAAAAGCCATGATGAAGGTGATAAGCTTGGACCAATAAATGTGACTTCCACAAGAAGATTTAACCCTTGACTTGGTTAATTTCGTTTTCTCCTGGGATGACCTCCAATCAAAGTACAAAATATCTCATTTGAAATCTCGGAACGTGTACTTTAAATCACCAGAAGACACCAAGTCCAAATTCCAATGTTCTCGTATAGAAAATGCCGAATCTTTGAAATCTGACAAAACCGGACAGCTTTGCACTGTTCAGGAAATCGGACTTGAAAACATAGTAAATGGACTTAAAAAATTCTCAAATTTCAATACGTCATAAACAAGATCTTAACAAACATTTTTCATGCAGAGCACGAAATCTGAATCTCTCTGTAAACACCATTTTTAGTAGTCCAAATACAGACTAAAAACAGTTCGCTGGAACAGCATTCTTGTTTCTCAAATTAAGCTCTGTCCAGAATCCAAATCATCTCGGAAAATTCCCAAATTTATATACATTATAGAAAAGGACGTTCTCAACAAGTTTTGTGAAGGAAAATTTTCCAAAATGGGCCCAGAAAAGCTTGTAGAAAATAAGGACGGTGTGAATATCACCGAAATACCCATTCTGGGCAGTTTCACACGGTCCGAAAATCAGTCCATCGTACCACTCATATTAACTCCAAAAATTATGAAATTAAAGTATGTAAAACTTAAATATGTTTGGAACAACTTTCAAGAATAAATTATTTGGAAATTCGGATCACAAAAATCTCCCCAAAAATAACAAAATGAAGGGGTACAAAGGATCCGAAACTGGGTTTTCCAAAACAAGAGTAAAAATTAGTTCCAATTGGAAAACCACCAAACTTAAACCATAGCCATTTCCCAGGGACTGAAATTGAGGATATTACAATTTACCTGCGGCTTCCCAGGCCCAAAAATCGGGATGTGACAATTCTCCCCCTCTAATAAAATTTCGTTGTCGAAATTTAAACGCGTACCTGGTTCCTCGAATAAATGCAGGTATCAACTTTTCCTCAATTCCTCACTCTCCCAGGTGACTTCTTTTATGCCCTGGTGACACTATAGGACCTTAACTAAGGGAATGGCCTTACCTCTCAATACTTGCTCCTTACAATCCACGATCCGCACCTGCTCTTTAGCATTGGACACTCTGCTGTCCACTTTGACCTTGTCAAAAAAAATTCAGCACGCGTGCCGGATCGGCTCATACTTTCACAATATCAATACATGGAACACAACATGTACCTGAGCAAGTTTTGGTGGCGGCGCCAACCGATAGGCCAAATTCCTTATTCTTCCTAGAATTTCAAAAGATCATACGTACCTGGGACTTAACTTACCTTAGTACCTTTACAGCATCCACTTTAATGTGGACTAGCTTTGGACCAGCGACCTTTCTTTCCCCGACCTCGATCCAACATACTAGAGTGCAGCAAGCTTGACCACGCTTCCGCTGCGCTACTCTGATAAAATCTTCCTCAAACACAATTTACTTACTTATAACAATCACGAAGATCGCACTTATCATTTCAAGTAACAGTTCCCATCTTACTTTCAATTCAGTTCCTAGTTCGGTTTATTCCTTTTCTTACCCACCATCCTAGAAGCCTGCCAGGAGCTGCACCTTGTTCAAGGTTTTAACCTCGGCGATCACTCTTGCTAGAAGCCGCACCTTGATCAGGCTTCTTGCCTCGGCGTCCACTTCCAGCCAAGAGCCGCTCCTTGATCAGGTTCTGCCCCGGCGATCACTCCCCACCCTCATCGGATCGAGCTATGTCAAAATTCAATAGCCTTCTCTTGGCTTAACACCGAACTGCAACTTACTAGAGGGGAACCTGCTTGGACTTTTCTTTTAAGGTCGTGGCGTCCTGATGGGACTTTCCTTTTTCCTCAGCGGTCGCAGCCTGGTCCTGAACACTTATTTTGCTATCAGTAGTCTATCAAGACTTTCTACAATACAAGAATAGGTCAGTGATCACAAACAAACAAGAGCATTTAACCTATTCAACCACAATCAATCATTCACATGCATAGGGGTGTTTCCTGGCTACCCAACTTCAGCGCACCTTATCACTCCAGATCTTTATTCCCGCTTTGATTTTAGAATCGTTTTCCCAATTCGGTGCACAGTTCGATCATTCTTGCCTTTAGCCATCCTAGAAGCCTGCCAGGAGCCGCTCAACGATCAGGCCCTTCACCTTGACGGCACTTCTGCCTAGAGGCCGCTCAATGATTAGGTCGTATGGCCCCGGCGCCACTCCCCGCCCTCATTGGACTGGCCAATTGTAAGTTGCCCTGAACTGCACCTACTGGAGGGAAAACCTGCTCTGATACCAAATTAAACTGTAATGCCCTGACCTCGGGGTCATTAACGTGACGTCCCGTTCATTATTATCTTTCTTTACACACAAGCGGAAGCATATCTCGGGACAATCACATTTTAAACAAACAGCGGGATTCAGAAAAACAGCATCATGAGCAAACCTTGTATTTATAGGACACGCAAACATATTTTACAAGCCAACTTAGCCGATTTTAGCCATTTACACAACAATAACAAGTGGCTTGGGTGTCCTAAGCCCACTACTTCGGATTCACAGCTCCTAGCTTTCCCCGAACTCCAACATGGCTCAAACTCTCCCTGTCGCCGCCGTCCGTTCGACCATCCTATGGACCTGAGAGGGAAAAACGGGGGATGAGTCGGGGAGACTCAGCAAGTGAAAATACTAATGTCAAGTGAGGATAAATCGATCGCCGTTAACATGAGTCGGCCCTTACCGCACCGGTGTCGATGGCAAATCAATAGCAAAGTTCATGCCGATAAATATTAGAGAACTCTAAGCATGGCTATAACACATGAACATCACTAGCCAAATTCCAGCTTCTATCTCGAGATATGAACGTCAAACACAAAACATAACACAAGCCAAAGAGATGACCAATCAAGACCGAACACGGTCCAAGCAAACTACGTCACAACGCATCTCATCATTCTTTCCCGAGATTAGGGAATTCACTTACACAATGATATCAAACAAGAACTAGAGAAAACGAGGCGTGTGAAGGACACGTGAGTCTCGGCAATTCTCGGGCGATTCTTGGGTGGTGCTCGGGCTTGAACACGAACATTCGGGCCTTGGACGTGGCTTCCTCACTCGATCAAACCACAAGAGAGACACGAGCTAGTCGATAAGTTCTCTCTCTTTCTTTTTCTCTCTTTTCTCGGTCATGAACAAGAAGCAAGAAAGCAAGAACCAAGATGGTAGTGGCGTGAGGATGAGGAGAGAGTGGCGTGAGAGAGCTTGAGGGTGGCCAAGCCTATTTATAGGAAAGCCAAACTTGCTCCCCAAGTTGCTCTCCAACTTGCTCCCCAAGTTGCTCTCCAACTTGCTCAAGAAGATACGTGGCCATCATGACAAAGCTTCCAAAGTCAAGACTCATCATAGCATGCATTTAATGCCATTAAATGCTCTTAATGAACTAAAATGATGAAGGGCCAATGCTTATCTCAGTCTCATTGGTCCTCTCTCTTTCTCTCTCTCTCCCTCTTGGCCGAATGGCCTTCTTTCTATTTATAGAGAGACAAAACTTGGGGCCAAAGTTTGGGGTATGAAGTCATGGCATATGTCATGTGTGGCTTAAGTCATGGCTTAGGTCAATTGGGGCATGAGGTCATTGCTTACCTCACATGGCCATTAAGAACATAAGCCAAAAGCCATGATGAAGGTGATAAGCTTGGACCAATAAATGTGACTTCGACAAGAAGATTTAACCCTTGACTTGGTTAATTTCGTTTTCTCCTGGGATGACCTCCAATCAAAGTATAAAATATCTCATTTGAAATCTCGAAACGTGTACTTTAAATCACCAGAAGACACCAAGTCCAAATTCCAACGTTCTCGTATAGAAAATGCCGAATCTTTGAAATCTGACAAAACCGGACAGCTTTGCACTGTTCAGGAAATCGGACTTGAAAACATAGTAAATGGACTTAAAAAATTCTCAAATTTCAATATGTCATAAACAAGATCTTAACAAACATTTTTCATGAAGAATACGAAATTTGAATCTCTCTGTAAACACCATTTTTAGTAGCTCAAAACAGACTAAAAACAGTTCGCTGGAACAGCATTCTTGTTTCTCAAAGTAAGCTCTGTCCAGAATCCAAATCATCTCGGAAAATTCCCAAATTTATATACATTATAGAAAAGGACGTTCTCAACAACTTTTGTGAAGGAAACTTTTCCAAAATCGGCTCAGAAAAGCTTGTAGAAAATAAAGACGGTGTGAATATCACCGAAATACCCATTCTGGGCAGTTTCACACGGTCCGAAAATCAGTCCATCGTACCACTCATATCAACTCCAAAAATTATGAAATTAAAGTATGTAAAACTTCAAGATATTTGGAACAACTTTTAAGAAGAAAGTATTGGAAATTCGGATCACAAAATCTCCCCAAAAATAACAAAACGAAGGGGTACAAAGGAACCGAAACTGGGTTTTCCAAAACAAGAGTAAAAATTAGTTCCAATTGGAAAACCACCAAACTTAAACCATAGCCATTTCTCAGGGACTGAAATTGAGGATATTACAATTTACCTGCGGCTTCCGAGGCCCAAAAATCAGGATGTGACAGCGATGACCTTGGGTAGCTAATAGGGAGACTTGTGTGCTACATGTACCTCCAGACAGTTTGATTTTCGTGATTGATTGATTGTTGGATATGACACGTAAAGTGCAGGTACGGCAGGACCGAGGTAAGTACGCATATCTCTTTGGTTGAGACTTCATGCTGCTTGTGATTGACCGCCTGTTATACGAATGATTGTTGTGATTCTTTGCCTAGGACCTTATACTGGTATAGTTTGGCCTGGGTCTCTAATTCCTGAATGGAATTATAGCAGGTAGGTGAGTAGTGAGAAAACCCGTGAGGATGAGCAGAGGAATAGGGACACGAGGACAATCGAGTGCAATGGGCCAAGAGACGAGAGACCCGAGTATTGATGGGGTCATTCAGGCACTGCAGGAAATAGGAAACTTGATGGGAAGGCAGGCTCAAGAGAGGGCTACCAATATTGCCCAAGCTGCTGAGGCCGCTGCAGCTGCTGCTGGTAATGAGAATCAAGCCAATCAAGGGCAGGCTCAAGTGGCTGTGAATAGACAGATGCACCAGCTGGTGGAGCAGTTCTTGAAGTTAAAGTCGCCAAAGTTCGATGGAAAGGGTGACCTTGAGGCCGCACCGCGTTGGGTGGAAGAACTGGAAAAGGCCTTTGAAGTTCTGGGGTGCACCGAGGCTGAGAAGGTGACTTTAGCTGTGTACCAGTTGCAAGAGAATGCCAATGATTGGTGGAAGGCCACCAAGGGGAGAGTATTCCCTGAGGGTACTGCCCAGACTTGGGCTGTGTTCACTGAGAACTTCTACGGGAAATATTTCTCTAAGAGTGCCAGGGAAAGGAAATTGGCGGAGTTCATGAGACTTCGCCAGGGATCGATGACGGTAGATCAATACGAGGCGGAATTTGCAAGACTATCGAAGTTCGCGCCAAGAATGGTGGAGGACCCACTAGATAAGGTCCGAAGGTTCCGGGATGGGCTGAAGCCGGACCTTCGTAGCCAGATGATCTCGCTGAACATCCGGGACTATGGAGAAATGTATGAACGAGCTCAAGCGATAGAACGGGATCAGATGGACAGGGCCGCCACTTCTGGATCGCGATTTGCCTCGGCTAAAGACAATCGCCGCTTTGGGAAGAGGCCGATGGCGGGAAATAGGCGTTTTGTCCCTCCCATCAAGAAGAACATTAGGAAGCCGAACCATTCTCAAAATAGGTTTGGGGCATGTTTAGGGTGTGGGAGCATAGATCATCAGATCAGACATTGCCCTCAACGTCCAGCAGGACCGCCAATGCAATCTCAGCCGCCTCGGATGGGAAATCAGACTGGAAATCCCCTACTGGCTATTCAGAGTAGACTGCCAGCTCAAGGAAGGGTATATGCAATGGCAAGAAGGGAGGCTGAGGAAACGCCGGGCGTGGTCACAGGTACGGTCTTTCTCTGTGATCATACTGCGTATGCCTTGTTGGACCCGGGAGCTTCACACTCGTTTATATCGGAACAGTTTGTTAGATTGACTGGAATTGAACCGGTTTTGCTTGAAGTCATACTTTGTGTAACGACTCCGCTGAATGATAGGGTGCTAGTCTCATTAGGGTGTCCTGACTGTAAGATAGTAATTAGGGGTAGAGAGGAAAGGATAGACTTGGCGGTATTGACCATGTTCGACTTTGACGTGATTGTCGGGATGGATTGGCTAGTTAAGCAGAAAGTCGTGATGGATTGTAGTAACAAGGTGATCCAATTCAACCCAATTGGACATCCTAGATTCGAGTTTATGGGAAACCGAGGAGGAACCTCGATCCCTTGGATTTCGTCACTTGAGGTAACCAAGTTGTTAGATGAGGGGTGTGAAGGGTATTTGGTGAACGTGATTGATCCGACGGTTGTGGAGCCAAGATTAGAGGAAATACCCGTGGTGTGCAATTTTCCCGAAGTTTTTCCTCAGGAAATGCCGGGTTTACCACCAGAAAGAGAAGTGGAATTCGTAATCGAATTGGCCCCAAGAATTGAGCCGATCTCGAAGGCACCGTACCGGATGTCCCTGTCACAACTGAAGGAGTTAAAAGTCCATATGCAAGAGTTGTTGGACAAGGGTTTTATCCGTCCAAGTGCGTCTCCATGGGGAGCACCGGTGTTGTTTGTAAGGAAGAAGGATGGGACATTGAGGTTGTGTATAGACTACAGGCAATTGAACCAGGTGACCATCAAGAACAAGTACCCACTGCCGAGGATTGATGACCTGTTTGATCAGTTGCAGGGAGCTTCAGTATTTTCTAAGATTGATATACGGACAAGGTATCATCAGTTGAGGATTAGGAAAGAGGATATACCTAAGACGGCCTTTCGAACAAGATATGGGCACTACGAATTCACAGTGATGCCTTTCGGTTTGACTAATGCCCATGCTGCCTTTATGGATTTGATGAATCGGGTATTTAAGGAGTTTTTGGATCGGTTTGTCATAGTCTTCATTGATGATATATTGGTATACTCGAAGAGCCCGTAAGAGCATGAGGTACATCTAATCGAAGTGCTACGGACCTTAAGAGAATACGCACTCTATGCCAAGTTCCGTAAGTGTGAGTTCTGACTCAACCGAGTGGTGTTTCTTGGACATATAATTTCTGGAGAAGGAATCTCAGTGGACCTGACCAAGATTGAGACAGTGACCAAGTGGCCAAGACCGATGTCTGTAACAGAGATTCGGAGTTTCTTGGGTTTGGCAGGATACTACAGGTGTTTTATAGAAGGGTTCTCGTCAATAACCACGCCGTTAACACGATTACTTAAGAAAGAAACGAAGTTTGAATGGTATGATAAGTGTGAGAGAAGTTTTCAGGAGCTAAAGCATAGGTTGACGACTGTCCCAGTATTGACTATTCCGTTCGGGCCAGGAGGGTATGAAGTCTACAGTGATGCATCGTTGAAAGGGCTTGGATGTGTGTTGATGCAACATGGAAGAGTAGTTGCGTATGCGTCACGTCAGTTGAGACCGCACGGAATGAATTATCCGACTCATGATCTGGAATAGGCTGCGATCATCTTCGCCTTTAAGATTTGGAGGCATTACTTGTGCGGGGAAAAGTTTCAGATCTACATGGATCATCAGAGCCTTAAGTATCCATTTTCACAGAAGGAGTTGAATTATGAGGCAGCGTCGTTGGATGGAACTCCTCAAAGACTACAATTGCGACATTTTGTATCACCTTGGAAAGGCTAATCGAGTGGCGGATGCGCTAAGTCGAAAGTTGAGTGTGGCGCACATGATGGTCAAGGAATGGACTTTATTGGAAAGGATAAGAGATTTAGAATTTAAGTTTGAGGTGAGCCGTGTGTCGAATCTACTTGCCGCGTTGAGGATCAAACCGAAAATTCAAACCAAGATTAAGGCATTGCAATCTACGGATCAAAAAATTCAGAAGATGGTTGAAATGGACGCCGCCAAGAGAAGACCGGATTTCCAAGTATCCGAGAACGGGATCTTGAAGTTCCGTGGATGATTGTGCGTGCCCGACGATGTGGAACTTAAGGAGGAAATTTTGAAGGAAGCTCATCGCAGTAATTATAGTATCCATCCAGGCAGTACAAAGATGTATCAGAACCTGCGGCAGCATTACTGGTGGAATGGGATGAAAACGGATATGGCCAAGCATGTGGCGAAATGTCTAACCTGTCAACAAGTAAAGGTGCAGCATTGTAAGCCTGGAGGACTTCTGCGACCATTGGAAATCCTCGAATGGAAATGGAAACATGTCACGATGGACTTTGTCACGGGATTACCAAGGAGCTATAGAGGGCACGATTCGATTTGGGTAATAGTGGATAGACTGACTAGTCAGTCGCACTTCTTGGCAGTGCAAAAAGATTTTGAGTTGGAAAGGTATGCAGATTTGTATGTACGACAGATTGTCCGACTGCATGGAGTGCCAGTGACGATCACTTCGGACCATGATCCCAGGTTTACTGCAAATTTTTGGAAAAGTCTGCAAACTGCCTTAGGGACAAAGCTTCAGTTTAGTACGACCTATCATCCACAGACGGATGGCCAGTCAGAGAGGACGATCCAGACTTTAGAAGACATGTTGCGCGCATGTGTATTGGATTTCCAGGGCAAATGGGAAGAACAGTTGCATTTAGTTGAGTTTGCCTACAACAACAGTTATCAGCAGAGTATTCAGATGGCACCGTTTGAGGCATTGTATGGCAGAGCATGCAGAACACTAGTGTGTTGGGATGAAGTTGGGGAACAGAGTATAACGGGTCCAGAATTGGTGCAACAGACCGTTAAGGTAGTCGAAATCATTCGGGAAAGGTTAAAGACAGCATAGAGTCGTCAAAAAAGTTATGCTGATCGGAGACGGAGACCTTTGGAATTTCAGATTGGAGATCATGTTTTTCTTAAGGTGTCGCCAATGAAAGAACTGTCCCGGTTCAGCAAGAAAGGGAAGTTGAGCCCGAGATATGTCGGTCCATTCAAGATTTTGGAGAAGATTGGAGATTTGGCCTATTGACTCGCCTTGCCGCCTAACTTGTCCTAAGTGCATAACGTGTTTCATGTGTCGATGCTGAGGAAGTACGAGCCGGATCTGACCCACGTGCTGAGATATGAAGAATAGACGTGGACGACAGGGTGTCGTACGTGGAAAGGCCAGTGAAGATCGAAGATAAAAAGGATCGGGTGCTACGAAACAAGACGATCCCGATGGTCAAAGTCGCTTGGGAGCATCATGGAACGGAGGGTGCCACATGGGAGAGTGAAGAAGCGATGAGACGTAAGCACCCCCAGTTGTTCGAGTAGACGGGTTTGGGTTGTAAATTTCGAGTTAGAAATTTTTATAAGGTGGAAGAGTTGTGACATTCTGAATTCGACCCACTTCTAGGATCAATGAAATGAATGTGTATTTCTCATTTTGTTTTAGTAAGTCTCGCCCGGAACTGATCACTCTCGGGATACTGACTAATAGGGAATGGCTAACTAGGAAAACTGTACGTGGACCCGATATGTCACGCCCCGAACCCTACGGCGCGCGAACATCCCTGCCGAGGTCGAAAGTGTGCGACGTCCTAAGATGCATCGCCGTCCCAACACCCAAACAGAGATCATTGCACATGCGGAAGTAATGTAAAAACACCTGTACAAATAAAACACCAGACCAAGGATAGCATGAACAACAAACAACGGGATAACAAATATACACTTGTATTAACCAGGGAAACATATACATTATCCATTTACACCAAAATACACACCTCGAACCAAAAACGGGTCAACGGCCACTAACTGCAAAAAGGGGTAGGTGGCCAGGCGGTGAGACTACTACCTAAGGTGGGGCTCCGATCAAAAAGGTACTGGCCCGACCTATCTGAGCTAAGGCTAACCCTACGAAACACAGTCTGGGTCGGATCCTGAGGACTCAGAAGATGAAGAACTGTCAGACAGCTCAACCTCAGAGTCTAGGGAATCCAGCTCGGACTCGGCCTCTGCCGGCTCCTCCTCAGAGTCCATCTCCTCAGGCTCGCCCTCCTGCTCGAGATCCTCCTCCATAGGCCCTGGCTCCTCATCCGACTCCATCGGCTTCGGGTCAGAGTCCCAATCCACCGGCTCCTCGTCCATTAGGTCCAGCTCATCCACCTCCTAGACGACAGGTCCGGCGCCAGAACTCGAACTTCCCGCGGGCGTAGCTTCGGGGCTCGCCAGGTCTCTGTCGGCACACTGCGGATCTATCTCGCCCAACTCGTTGAACGGGACATCAAAAGTCCGAAGAGGTCCAAACTCCCCGGAGTAGTCCCTAAAGCACCAAGCTACATTCTCGTGGGTCTGGTAATGCGTTTCCCCCACATCAACCCATACTATAGTATAGTGCCTAATGTACGTATCCCCGTTCCCTACGGGGTACTCGGTCACCGCTCTCTCTATCTGATGCAGGATCAAAAAACGTACCGGAACTTCTTACATCCTCAGGGCCGGGGGTCTGAAAAGTTGGGTTTTAACAACAATGAGACGAATCTCAGCGAGTAAAACCCCCTAAACCTAAACTCGGCTAACATGCACCTCCTGACAGGCAACGAATCACATACAACTAGTAATAATTGACAATCAATTGACCTAGGTCCTCGGTCCCAGATCGATCACACAATTGACCCTGCAGGTTAGGTATAATATAATCACCATAATGGCACCTATGCGACAGGCTTAGTCACACGTACGCCATGCACATGCTCATGCTTGTTAATGTCTACATCACACACGAGTCACCGATACGCATAACTGCCAATGCACTCTTGCACACATATACCACCATTATGCCATACTCATGATCTGGATCAATAATACACACTCGCACACTGTTCACTTCTCAATTAGAATTCGACCCGCGTAAAACACCTCAGGTCTATCAATCAATACCAACATTTCATGGCCCACGTAAAACGCATCAGGCCCAGTGTCTCTAGCCCTAGTAAAACGCATCAGGCGCAACACCGATCTCCATATACAGACCAAAACCCGCGTAAAACGCATCAGGCTGGCCGTCTTCCGGTAGAACCGCGCATCGTCCCACGTAAAACGCATCAGGACTCATAATGATCACACGTGCACACAACCAATTTTATCTGAACCCCGCGTAAAATGCATCAGGGCAATTAGGTGATCACATGCTCATGTCAGATCTGCATACTCGCACAAATCTCGGTTCAAGCTAATGCTCAACATGCGAAATGCGTGGTCATACAATCCGGCATTCGGGCAACAACACCATGCACAATGAGCACTCAATTTCACTTAGGCACCTCAATAATTTATGCCAATTCAACTCACATCTCAACGTGCCCAATTTATGCCAATTCAACTCACGTCTCAACATGCCTGATTCGCGATCGGATCCCTGGTCCACGTACCGTTTTCCTAGTTAGCCATTCCCTATCGGTTAGTATCCCGAGAGTGATCAGTTCCGGGCGAGACTTACTAAAATTAAATGAGAAATAATATCTATTTCATTGATTCCGGAAATGGGTCAAAATTCAGGATGTTACACGAGAACTCGACCGTGAATCGAGCTTCGATTCCGAAGAGCGACAAGGGAATATTTTGGGCCAATGTGGGCTGATCCAAGGAAGGCGACGGATTTGGTTTGCCAACGACGTACGATCGGATCGCGGATGATTCTGCATGACCGAGAGTAAGCGTGGCGAACGATCCTAAACCTACTCCAAATGATCGCGACCTTCAGAACTAGTATAGATCCTCGCGTTCTCTTGGAACTTGAGACTGTCACGACTCGAGTAACCCTAGGTCGATACGCGTAACCCCTAAAAAGCCGCCCGTTAGTAAGAGACGCTAAAATCGCATTTGAGCGAAATTGATCGTTGAGTTGAATCCGGACTTGAGTGTCGAATTTTACGGACGTGCACGACTAATTTTCAAGGACGACGTCGTATTAGTGTGGCCAATCATATTTGGGATCGGTATGGTCGAAAAATGGAAATTTTCGACCGGGAGTGGAAAATTACCATTTTGCCCCTAAGCCCTATGCATTAATTCCGAATTATTGGAGGATAATATGGACTTATCCAGCCCCCAAGAGTGCCGAAATTCATGGACCATGTTGCCCCCATCACTCTTGCTCATTCCCAACTTTGCCCTTAGATATTTTGTTCTAGATTGAATCCTAGCCCTTGGTTTTGGATAGAATTGATTGGCCTCTAAATCCCAACCCTTGGATTAGCTTGATAGTGGAGTGGGTAGGCTTGTCAATGTTAGTGGAGTGGGTCACCTACTCCCACTCAAGGTTTTTGTTTAAACTCTCACACTCTCTCTCTCCTCCCTCATTCCCCTCATTCGGCCGGCCACTCCTCCTCTCACTCTCTCGACTCTCTCTTTCTCCTCCTTGCCACGTGAAGCCAGCCACCGGAGCAGCCCAAGCCGTGGCCGTGCAGCCCCGCCAGAGTAGCGTACCGCCGCCAACCGCTCGACCATCTCATGCACAACAACCGCCACCCTCACTTTTCCCCTCTCCTTTTTCCCTCGACCCATCACCATTACCGTCACCCCACCTTCGTCGTGAAGATCAGCCGTAAGCCCCCAGCCGTTGCCGCCGCCGTTCGCTACCGTGGGAGCCGCCGGCATCCCCGCTGCTGCTCGGCCACCTTCTCCTCCTGTCCAGCCAACATTTCAAGCTTAGGACTTGTGTGAGTGGAAACCCTAAATAGGTTTTAATGCATTTTTAGACGAGTTTAGGGGTTATTTAGGGTAATTTAAGGGTCGTTTTAGGGCTGATCATGTGGTGATTTTGGTGGCCTAGTATGATGATTTAAAGGTGATTTAGAGGCCTAGAGTGGTCTGTTTAAGGGCTGAATAATGTGAGCTTGAATGGACAATATGTTGCTAGTCTATGGTTTAAAGGTGTATTGCCATGGGTGTTTTGATTGGACCATAAGTGGCGTATTTAGGCATCATTTAATTTACTTGTGCGACGTTGTGATGTTACAAGGGGTGCTCGATATGGCCGTGAAAAGGAGAATACATTGTGGGCCATAGACTTGTGTGATTTCAATGACTTAATTACATGATCTTTGGTGTGCTAAATTATGTACCGTGGCTGAATTACATTAAATGGTGAATTGAGCATGTTGTTATGTGAATTGAGTACTCAATGTAGATTCAATTGATGCCCTGAGTTTTGGATGTTATGGCCATGGTTTCGTGCATATTGAGTGACGGCATATTATGTGAATCATGTGAGTTTGCACGAATGGCTATGAGCATGTGATCACCTAAAATGCCCTGAGGCATCGTTTACGCGGGGTTCAGATAATAATTGATGAAGTGTGTACGTGTGATCACATAAGCCCCGACGCATTTAACGCGGGGTATTGAACCCGTCCTGAGGCGTTTAATGCGGGACGATGCCCGGTTTACCGGATGATGGCCAACCTGAGGCGTCGTTCACGCGGGTTGTGTCATAGACTTGAGGCGTATTACGCGAGTCTCGAGTAGTGATGGACCTAATGCGTTTAACGCGGGTCAAAGATTAATTGAGAAATTGGCACGTGTGCGAAGTGTGCATTAATAAGTGCAAGCATGTGCATGGCAAGTGATTGTGGCCAATTGATAATGTGTTGATGCCATGATTGGTTTTATTGGTGTTATTATTATGTGCCTAATCTGCAGGGTCGATTATATGTTTGATTTGGGCCCGAGGGCCCAAGTCGTTTGAGTACTGGATTGTATGTTTGATGGTTACTTGTTTGGAGGTGTATGTTAGCCTAGTTTAGGTTTAAGGGGCCTACTTACTGAGATTCGTTCTCACTGTTGTTAAACCCCAACATTTCAGACCCCCGACCTTGAGGATGGCCGGCATACCACTACGTTTTGTAATCCTGGACCGTATAGAGCGTTCAGTGATCGAGTACCCCGGTTGGAACGGGGAGGCCTATATTAGATTTTACACTATCGTTTGGATCGACGAGGGCGGGCCACAACTCAAGGCCCATCCCTATCTTAGTTGGTGTTATCGGGACCAGATCGGCTTTCACGGACCCCTTAGGACTTTCGACGTTCCGTTTGATGGGCTAGGCCAGTGGGACCCGCATGCAGCTAATGGAGAGGTAGTGAGTCTCGATACCGCGTCCGAAGCGGATTCTGACCCCCGGCCAGTCATCTTTGAGTCTGACATGGATTCCGACCACCAGAAGGAGGAGCCGATGGAATGGGAGTCCGATCCCGAACCGGAGCTGTAACGCCCCCACCTTGGGGTCATAAACGTGACGTCCCGTTCATTGTTATCTTTCTTTAAACACAAGTGGAAGCATATCTCGGGACAATCACAATCAATACACACACACCGGAAATAAGACAAGAAGCATCATGAGCAAACTTTATGTTTACAATGCATACAAACATATTTTAACAAGCCCTTCAGGCCATGGCAAAAAACACATATTTCATCGCCGACTATAAATAGCAAATTTTAACTTGGGTTAACCTATACCCACTACGGCTTCTCGCTCCTCGCTTCTTCACCTTCACCCCGGTCCCGTCCGCTTGGCCATCTCACATCCTACCCGTGGCTTTATACCGGAGCCGGCCCGCCCGCACCGCCAAAGCACCGTTGAACCTAGGCACGGATGAGGCACCAAGTCCGTTAGGCCCTCATCGAATCGTCACAAGCATCGAGATTGACGATAGGCGCGGTCTTTCTGACATCTATTACGGTGAGCAGTTCGGCTTTCTTCTCCACGGGATTGCCAACGCGGGCTGGGGGAGATGCCATCCTACGGACCTTAAAAAAAGGGAAACAACGGGGGATGAGTCGGGGAGACTCAGCAAGTAAAATTTTACTAACAAGCGAAGACATATCAATCGTCATTACACGAAACATTCTTACCGTACCGGCCTCCATGGCCGATCAAACAACGACGGGCATAGCAAGCACAAAACAAGGATTCCAGGCATGGCTAAGTCACGATTTACCTCATGTGTCGCGCCTCGGTTTCTAATTCGTGTTAGATAACATGCAAAAACACGAAACAAGGCAAACTTGTTATAGAGAACACAACATCGGAACACCAAGAACCGAGAACGGGGAAAGCTCGTGATACAACGTATTTCAACGTCATTTCCCGGTAGTAAAATCTCTCTTACTCTAATACAACAGGAACTAAAGGGTAGAGAATGGGCGGGAAAGGCAACGGCCTCGGGTCTCGGACAACTCACGGTGTTGGCTTTTCTTTTCTCTCTCACGGGTTTTCTCTCTCGGTTTTCTCTTTCTCTCTCTATCTCGGCACTCTCTCTCTCTCTCTCTCTCTCTCTCTCTTTCTTGGCCGGTTTGTGTATGAGGGAAAAGTGAGCCAAAACTCTCCCAATGGCTTCTATTTATGGAGGAAGCAAGGGCTAGGGTTTTGATGAGGCGTGCGCCCACATCACTTGGGAGATGAGGTAAGCGCGCGTGTCATCCACCCAATAATGGCCTAAGTCCAAAAGTCAAGAATAATGATGAAAATGGCAATTATTCTTCCTTTCTCTCTCCTCACCCATTGGCCGTGGGTCTCTCTCTCTCTCCCCAAGCTGGCCGTGACTCCTCTCTCTCTCCCTTGGTCAATACTTGATGACCAAGGCTTCATAATGGCTTCATAAAGGCTTGTGGAAAAAGAAGGCCAAGCAATAAATGAGAGTAATGATGAAGATGATAAGGTTTGACTTAGTCAAACTTTCTAGGGTTTTCTCGTAAAAATAATTCCCAAATTTATATACGTTATAGAAAAAGACGTTCTCAACAACTTTTGTGAAGGAAACTTTTCCAAAATCGGCCCAGAAAAAGCTTGTAGAAAACGACAAAGTGTGAACATCACCGAAATACCCATTCTGGGCAGTTTTACACGGTCCGAAAATCAGGCCATCGTACTATTCATATCAACTCCAAAAATTCTGAAATTAAAGTATGTAAAACTTCAAGATGTTTGGAACAACTTTCAAGAACGAAGTGTTGGAAATTCGACTCACAAAAGTCTCCCCAAAAATAACAAAACGAAGGGGTACAAAGGATCCGAAATAGGGTTTTCCAAAACAAGAGTAAAAATTTTAGTTCCGATTGGAAAACCATCAAACTTAAACCATAGACATTTCCCAGGGACTGAAATTGAGGATGTGACAATTCTTCCCTTGTAAAAGAATTTCGTCCTCGAAATTTAAAACGTACCTGAGATTTAACTTACCTTTCCTTCCGAAGTGTGACACACCCCTCATTAGTGACACCTTCAGAAAGACATAGTCGCCTTCCGGAAACTTAAGCGGTTTCTGGCGCTTGTCAGCCTAATTCTTTTACCGACTTGTGCCGTCCTAAGTTTTTCTCTACTTATCTGGACAGCATCTAAGGTGAGTGGGACTAGCTCTGGACCCCTGACCTTCTTTTCCCGACCTCGTTCCAATAGACCGGAGTTCTGCAAGCTCGACCGTATAATGCCTCGAATGGCGCCATCTTGATGCTTTGCTGATAACCGTTATTACAGTTGGATTCTACATTCCTTTCTGAAGGTAGCCTTGTTTAGCTTTTTCGAAAAATGTCGAAAATTTTCTTGATATCTTCTAGCTTTGGCTTCCCACGCTTCCGCTGCGCCACTCTGATTTATCTTTTACCATCCTTAAATATTTCTCATGCTTGCTTGCTTGGATTTTTCGATACATTGAAATGTCATACATAAATACTATGATAAAACAGTACAAGTACAGTTCCGATCACCCGATTTATCAAGTCTCCGTAATAACATTCTTAGAGTTTTCTGCTTCGTCTTGAGTAATTGTATAAATCCTTCCTTGAGCTGGAGGACGATTTTCATGCGGTGGAACTTCTTTTTGTTGCATCGCATGTGGTTGTTGTGACTACTTCACTTGCTGTCGTTGCGGGCAGTCCTTTATGTGGTGGCCTTGTTGACCACAGCCGAAACATGCTCCCGTTTGTTTTGGACACGGAGCACTTCCATGAAACCTTTCGCAAGTATGGCAAACATCGCATGCAGTGGAAATTGGCTTCTGATTTTTTATCTTCTTGTTGGGAGTGGAGAAATGGTTTTCTCCCGACATCGGTCTCTTGTCATGATGCTGGTTGGATTGAGAAGCCGGATGATAGGGTTTTCCTTGGTTAGTCGCCGTGGCAGCTTGTTCCAGGGACTCTTTCTCCACTAGCTGTGCTCGTTCATACAGCTCGTTGTAATCCTTGAGGTTCAGCGGCACCAACTGTCTCCGGATGTCTGGGTTCAAACTGTCTCGGAATCTTTTTGCCCTTTCCACTGGATCTTCAATAAATTTAAGGGCGTACCTCGACAGTTGAGCGAATCTTGCTTCATACTGGTCTACCGTCATGTTGTTCTGCTGAAGTTGCAAGAATTCCTTCATCTTTCGGTCACGAGCACATTCGGAAAAATACTTTCCGTTGAATGCTTCAACGAAAGTATTCCAGTTGACAGTAGCATTTTCTGGGAACACGATTTCCTTGGTCGCTTTCCACCAATAGCTGGCATTACCTTGCAGTTGATAGGTCGCTAAGGTAACTTTCTCTTCCTCAGAACATCTCAAAAGCTCAAATGCCTTCTGGAGTTCATCGATCCAGGATTCCGCTTCTTCGGGATCTCCAGTTCCGATAAACTTCGGGGGTTAGAGCTTCAGAAATTGCTCGACCAATCCGTGCATCGTACGGCCACCATTTCCATTTCCATTTTCATTTGCTGCCACATTCTCAGCATTAGGCATTCGTTGTTGGGCCTATTGTCCCAACAGTTCTCCCACGGTCGCTAGAGCCTGCAGAATTCCGTCTATTCGATGGTCTTGATTTGACTTCCCCTTCGAGGTTGAGGTCGCAGCCGGGTTCCGAGCACTCATAATGGTATTCTAAGGGGTCTTTCTACAACACAAGAATAGGTCAGTGGTCACAAACAAATATTAGTACACAACCTATTCAACCACAATCAATCATTCACATGCGCAGGGGTGTTTCCTAGCTAACTACCCCAACTTCAGCGCACCTTATCACTCCAGGTTTTTATTTCTGCTTGGATTTCAGAATCGTTCTCCCCCATTCAGTGCATAGTTCGGTTTCTTTCTCTCTTACCCATCATCTTAGAAGCCTACCAGGAGCCGCACTTTGTTCAGGTCTTCAACCCCGGCGACCACTCATGCTAGAAGCCGCACCTTGATCAGGCCTCATGCCCCGGCGTCCACTTCATAGCCAAGAGCCGCTTTTTGATCAGGTTCTACCTCAACGACCACTCCCCGCCCTCATCAGACTGGGTCCTTTCAGGATTCCACAGCCTCTTCTTAGCTCAACACCGAACTTGTACTTACTAGAGGGGAACCTGCTCTGATACCAAATTAATCTCTAATGCCCCCACCTCGAGGTCATAAACGTGACGTCCCGTTCATTGTTATCTTTCTTTAAACAAAAGCGGAAGCATATCTCGGGACAATCACAATCAATACACACAACACCGAAAATAAGACAAGAAGCATCATGAGCAAACTTTATGTTTACAATGCATACAAACATGTTTTAACAAGCCCTTCGGGCCATGGCAAACAACACACGTTTCATCGCCGACTATAAATAGCAAATTTTGACTTGGGTTAACCTATACCCACTACGGCTTCTCGCTCCTCGCTTCTTCACCTTCACCCCGGTCCCGTCCGCCTGGCCATCTCACATCCCACCCGTGGCTTTATCCCGGAGCCAGCCCGCCCGCACCGCCAAAGCACCGTTGAACCTACGCACGGATGAGGCACCAAGTCCGTTAGGCCGTCATCGAATTGTCACAAGCATCGTGATTTGACGGTAGGCGCGGTCTTTCTGACATCTATTACGGTGAACACTTTGGCTTTCTGCTCCACGGGATTGCCAACGCGGGCTAGGGGAGATGCCATCCTACAGACCTGAAAAAAAGGGAAACAACGGGAGATGAGTCGGGGAGACTCAGCAAGTAAAATTTTACTAACATGCGAGGACATATCAATCGTCATTACACAAAACATTCTTACCGTACCGGCCTCCGTGGCCGATCAAACAACGACGGGCATAGCAAGCATAAAACAAGGATTCCAGGCATGGCTAAGTCACGGTTTACCTCATGTGTCGCGCCTCGGTTTCTAATTCATGTTAGATAACATGCAAAAACACGAAACAAGGCAAACTTGTTATAGAGAACACAACATCGGAACAACAAGAACCGAGAACGGGGAAAGCTCGTGATACAACGTATTTCGACGTCATTTCTCAGTAGTAAAATCTCACTTACTCTAATACAACAGGAACTAAAGGGTAGAGAATGGGCGGGAAAAGCAACGGCCTCGGGTCTCGGACAACCACGGTGTCGCCTTTTCTTTTCTCTCTCTCGGGTTTTCTCTCTTGGTTTTCTCTTTCTCTCTCTATCTCGGCACTCTCTCTCTCTCTCTTACTTGGCCGGTTTGTGTATGTGGGAAAAGTGAGCCAAAACTCTCCTAATGGCTTCTATTTATGGAGGAAGCAAGGACTAGGGTTTTGATGAGGCGTGCACACACGTCACTTGGGAGATGAGGTAAGCGCGCGTGTCATCCACCCAATAATGGCCTAAGTCCAAAAGTCAAGAATAATGATGAAAATGGCAATTATTCTTCCTTTCTCTCTCCTCACCCATTGGCCGTGGGTCTCTCTCTCTCCCCAAACTGGCCGTGACTCTTCTCTCTCTCCCTTGGTCAATACTTGATGACCAAGGCTTCATAATGGCTTCATAAAGGCTTGTGGAAAAAGAAGGCCAAGCAATAAATGAGAGTAATGATGAAGATGATAAGGTTTGACTTAGTCAAACTTTCTAGGGTTTTCTCGCAAAAATAATTCCCAAATTTATATACGTTATAGAAAAAGACGTTCTCAACAACTTTTGTGAAGGAAACTTTTCCAAAATAGGCCCAGAAAAAGCTTGCAGAAAATCGACAAAGTGTGAACATCACCGAAATACCCATTCTGGGCAGTTTTACACCGTCCGAAAATCAGGCCATCGTACTACTCATATCAACTCCAAAAATTCTGAAATTAAAGTATGTAAAACTTCAAGATGTTTGGAACAACTTTCAAGAAGGAAGTGTTGGAAATTCGGATCACAAAAGTCTCCCCAAAAATAACAAAACGAAGGGGTACAAAGGATCCGAAATAGGGTTTTCCAAAACAAGAGTAAAAATTTTAGTTCCGATTGGAAAACCATCAAACTTAAACCATAGACATTTCCCAGGGACTGAAATTGAGGATGTGACAGGAGCCGAAGGAGCTGGAGTCAGAGCCGGAGGATGATCCCGAGGAGGAGCCGTTGGAGGTTGAGTTCGAGCCAGAGTCTATGGATTCCGAGTTCAAGTCGTCCGATGATTCATCCGAGTCTTCGGGATCCGACCCGGATTGGATACCCTAGGGATTAGCCTAGAGCATAACTTCAGCCGGCACTTTTTGGGAGGAACCCTTTTTAGATATAGTACCTGACCGCCCCGAGCCACGAATCCCTTTTTGATGTTGGTGGCTGCTGACCCGTTTTGATTTATGTATACTTATGTTTTTAACGGATATTGTAAATCCTCATTTTATGAATGTAAGTATGTGTTTATGATATTTGTTGCTACCTTGGTCATGTTTAATTATGTACAGGTATATGATCGTTTTCGCATGTGTATTGTTCTCTGATTTGTGTTTTGGGTGGCGATGCGTCCTCGAACGTCGCACTAATTTGACCGAAGAAGGGATGCCACGTGCCGTAGGGTTCGGGGAGTGACATTAGTGGGGTGGGTAGATTTGTCATGGCTAGTGGGGTGGTTCACCTAACCCACTCAAGGATTTGTGATAAACTCTCTCTCACTCTCTCTCTCCCCTCACTTTCCCCCCTTTGGCTGATCACCACCCCCTCACCCTCTCCATTCTCTCTTCTCCTCTCCTTGCCACGAAGCTAGCCGCCAGAGCAGCCACCAGCCGCGATCGTGCCGCTCTGTCGTAGCCGAGTGCCACCGCCGTGCTGGCATTCATTCGCTCGGTCCCCTCCTTCTCTCCTTCTCTCTCTCATCCCCGTCGCCACCACTAGCACCGATCAGCCAGCCCTTGGCCGTGTGCAGCCACATGAGCGCCGCCGCCACCACCGGCCTCGAGACCGCCTCATATACCACCACCGCCGACCTCACCCTTCCCCTCTCCTTTTTCCACAATTGACCACCATCACCGTCACCCCCTCTCTCTCCGTTTGGATCAACAGTGGGCCACCAGCCTGTCGCCGCCGCCGTCCGCCGCCCGTGGGGGCCGTCGAAGCCCTTGCTGGCCTGCATGAACCAGCGGCCCTCCAGGCCTGTAACATCCCGAATTTCGACCCATTTCCGGAATCAATGATATTGATATTATTTCTCGTTTAATTTTAGTAAGTCTCGCTCGGAATTGATCACTCGCAGGATACCAACCAAAAGGGAATGGCTCACTAGGAAAATGGTACGTGGACTAAGGACCCGATCGTGAATCGGGCACCGATTCCGAGAAACGACAAGGAAATATTTTGGGCCAATGTGGACCGATCCTAGGAAGGTGACGGATTTAGTTTGGCCAATGACGTACGATCGGATCGCGGGTGATTCCGTACGACCGAGAGTACGCGTGGCGAACAAATTCCGAACTTAATCCGAACGATCGCAACCTCCGGAACTAGCAATAATTCCTCGCGCTCTCCCGGTAATCGAGACCGTCACGACTCGAGTAACCCTAGGTCGATACGCGTAAACCCTAAACAGCCGCCCGTTAGTGAGAGAACCTAAAATTGTAATTGAGCAATTTTGATCGCGAAATTGGATCCGGACTTGGACGTCGAATTTCGTCGACGTACACGACTATTTTGCGAGGACAACATCATTTTAGTGCGGCCAACTATATTTGGGATCAGTACGGTTGAAAAATGGAAATTCGGCCCGGAATCGGAAAATTACGATTTTGCCCCTTAGCCTATGTTTTGTATTCCGAATTTTGGGAAATTATGGAAGGTCATTTTGGGGATTTAATTGGATAATATCAGCCCCAATAATTCAGAAAATTTGGGTCTAATATGCCCTTGGATATTTTGGCCTTGGATTATCTCAACCCTTGGAGTGAAGGGCAAGATGGGCATTAGGAAAAGTTTGGTCAAACCCCCTTTAAGACCAATAATTCAATCTCTCTCTCCCTCATTCCTCACCACCTTCGGCCACTTCCCCTCTCCTCTCTCCCTCGCTGAACCTCCCCTTCTTCCTCTCGGCCGTGAGCCGTCGATCGTTGGAGGAACGCCGCCGCCGTCCTCAGCCACCTTGCGCCACCACCAACCGACCGTCCCTCATCCTCTTGCCACCCTCACGCCTCACTTTCTCCCTCTTTCCTTCCCCTCGGCCGCGTGGAAGGAGCCACGACCGCCGCTCGCCAGACCGCGGCTCGCCAAGGCCAATCGCCACTGCTGTCCGCGTGAGCCGTTGCCACCACCACCCGGCCACCATTCTCTCTCTCCCTTGTTTGCCGTCAACACCGACCATCACCCTCTCCCCTTCGCCATCGTGACTGCCAAGGATCGCCGGTCGCCGCTGCCGCCCAAGCGCCGCCGCGGATGTCACGTCCCGAACCCCATTGAGCTCGCGACATCCCGCAACGGCCGAAAGATTGCGACGTCCCAAGAACATCGCCGACCCAACCTAAATATCAGAGACACATGCGGAAGCGAATATAAAAAGTCCCATACTATCAAGACGACGACAGAGTAGAACATCAAGACAGTTAAAGAACAACAACATTCATTTTTATACAATGCCATTACAACGAGCACACAAACATTATATTTCCAACAAACTTAACAAATGAGCATTCATAACCACCGACATAACAAAAGGATCGGGTGGTTCGGTTAACTTAGCTTCACTATAGGTCGACCTATTTATCAAAAGGTGACTGGTCAGACCTATTTTACACAACCCCTAAAATACCCTAGGGGAAACTTAATGGTCGCCCTCCTCCACTCTGCTTCAGCGTCATCTGACTCGTGCCCCCGGAAGATCACTTGGACCACGATACGGG